TTGGAAAGATGGTTAAAAAAAATTTTCTTTTTATTTGATAGGGACAATGCAATTTAACATAGCTCCAATACAGAGTATGGGACTGATGTGTTGCACAGAGAGTTTATAGATATTGCCAATTTTCAACTCATGTCCCTATTCAGGATTTTACATGTAGACCTAAAGTGTTATTAAAAATATACAGGTTGAAACAGCATACAACCACAATACAAGGCATCTACTATAGACATGCCATTAAACACATTGCACAATACACCAAATCATTTTCAGATATCAGTATACACTGTCTATACTAAAAATCAAGATGGAAAACATGTGCACAATCAGTTACAATTATCAAATTCAGCACCATAAACTGCGTTCCACTGTACTGCATTACATCAGACAAAGGTCATCATCACACATATAGAACGTCAAGGATATTTTGTGATTTAGGAGTGGTTTCCAAATTGTTTTGAAATTGGTTTTATGGTTGTAGAGAGCCTTATAGTATGGTAGTGTGGGTATTGGAACACACAGTATGATATGCATTCCATTGACTCTCTAGCGTCCATGGCCTGAAGGTCCTTGAGTGAAACATCAGCTGTGAAAGGCTAAAAAAAGCAAACAGTCCAGGCACAGGCACATTATTGCTTTTTATAGGAGGATTCCCTCTGCAGTCATTTTCAAACAAAAGCCCAGAGGCAGCAGAAAAATATGTTGAAAGCTAAACAGATGCCAGATGTAGTGGCTTTGTTTTTACTGGATTTGACTTCCCAACAGAAAGCAAGATCAACTTGAGGAATATGTATATGTTACAGATCATTCAGAGGTTTGGTTGTGTTATTCTACAGGTGCCTGGTCATAGATGAAGCAGATCGCATGGTCGAGCGAGGCCACTTTGCAGAGCTGGAGAACCTGCTGGAGATGCTCAACACCGTGCACTTTAACCCCACGAGGCAAACCTTTGTGTTCTCCGCCACGCTGACCATGGCTCGCAGCCTGCCCACCCGCCTCCTGCAGAAGAAGAAGAAGAATCTGGACCAGAGGAACAAGCTGGAAATTCTCATGGAGAAAGTGGGGATCAAGTCCAAACCCAAAGTCATTGACCTGACCAGGAAGGAGGCGACTGTGGAGACCCTGACTGAGACCCGAATCCATTGTCAGAAGGAGGACAAGGACTTTTACCTTTATTACTTTCTGCTCCAGTATCCTGGCCGTACCATGGTGTTCGCTAACAGTATAGACTGTATCAAGAGACTGAACTCCCTGCTGGTGATCTTGGACTGTACTCCACTGCCTCTTCATGCCAACATGCACCAGAAACAACGCCTCAAAAACCTGGAGAGGTTTGCTGAGAGGGAGAGGTGAGGTTTGCACACACTTGCAGTACTGTTTTAAGGTTAGGTTGGCAATTATGTTCCTATGGTGAAATATAAAAAAACTGTTAGCTGTAACTAAGGGCGTAAAAAATCCTGGATCATGTTTCTCATGACTAGTTCCATCGTTGAGTTTTGTCATAATGCATATTTACAAAGTTTTTGTTCTGGTTGTAACCACAGTAGTTGGCAAATTAAAATACTTACCCCAATACAGCAACATTTTCAATTTTTCTTTTTCTTTTTTTTTGGCTTAATTATCAAAAGTTTCATTCACTCCATAAAGTGGAAGGTGGAGAAATAACTCCCACGCACTTTGATTTGTCTGTACATGAGCTTGTGTTGCTGCCATCTTGGCAAGGTCACCTCCGTAAAAAAGAAAAAAATCACAGTGGAAGTTTAAAACTAGAGTTATAATCATTGAACACACTGGGACATGCATATTGTAGCATCAGAGTATTAATTTCAGAATTTCATTCACAGTTGTGTTCTGCTGACGACTGACGTGGCCGCCAGAGGACTGGATATCCCAAATGTTCAGCATGTCATTCACTACCAGGTCAGCCTTTTTGATTGTTGTCCAAAGCAGCCACTATGATTCCTGTCTCTAATAACCAAGGGCACTAATTAATTGTAACACTAACCACTATTTATCACTGAGCTGTAGTGCAGGAGATGCTTTACTGTCAAGCTAAATGTTGGTTACAGCTGTCAGTTTTGGTTTTGTATGGCCAGATTTGAAAGAATACAGCTGCATAGCCCTGTTCAGTGCTGTAGTGTATCAGAGGTTGTTCTGCTGCATCTTATGCATAAAGAGAGCCTTGGTGTAACTTGTACCTGTTCTAATTGTCTCTAATCATGTTCTCCTATGAACATCAGGTTCCCAGGACATCTGAGACTTACGTCCATCGGAGTGGCAGAACAGCAAGAGCCACCAAAGAGGGCCTCAGTTTGCTGCTGATAGGCCCGGACGACATGATGAACTTCAAAAAGATCTACAGGACTCTTGGGAAGGACGACGACCTTCCCATGTTCCCCATAGAGCTCAAATGCATGGAAGCCATCAAGGTGAGATCCAGCAGTAGGTCTTGCCTTCATGAGCCTGTTTTCACCTGGCATTAACATATGTTTAAGGTAATCCGATCACAAGTAGACATTTCTGAGTCGGTCTGTGTCTGTTCACACCTGGTATTAAACTATGTCTCAGCACGTTCCTAGAGTGACCACGTGATCAGATCTCACCTTAAAGTGATAGTTCAGGTTTTTGGACATGAAGTTGTGTGAAACGCTGACGATCTGTAGCTCTGATGTTTTTAATTTTTTTTTTTTTTTTTAATTTTATATACTTTATTAATCCCCGAGGGGAAATTCAATTTTCAATAGTGACGGTGTCACTACTCTCAACGAGCCTCCTGCTCTGAGAAATCGCCTGTAGCTTACTGGAGAAAAAGTAGTTCTGAAGATGTAAGGGGGACATGTAACCAAAAGGTTTTACGCTACAAAAAAGTATGCATGTGTTTTGTTAGACTATTTCAATAATTTTAAAACATCCCCGAATTACGTCAGACCTTGCTATCAATTGGGACTATTTTCTGGCCAGTATCACTCCGCCGTGCAGGCCCGCAAGACAGCACGCCAACAGAAATCAATTAGACAGTTCATCACCACGCTGTGCAGGTGCGCAGGATAGCAACGGCTAACGAAAACTTCATCGGCTGTTTCCAACAGAGAACCAGTAGGCTATTATTAGTGAGGAAAAAGATGTACTAGCCCTATATATACCTACTACTACAGCGCGAACTCCAGCTCAGGCTCACGACACACCCTCGTCAGCTGCTGTAGGTAAACAGAGGAATACCAAAATCACTTTAACGCTCTGTATGCAAATATAATTGTGCATCATATCTTTGTATAAAGACAAAATACATTTTTGTTTTTAACCAGCGAGTGGTTTGTGGTGCTATACTCACACTTTGGCAGCAATTTATTAGTTTGGCATAAGGCAAAGTCTGCCAACGCACACAGTGACAGGGCTAACTTTTAACATCACATGGCTAACATTACACAATGGTTATTAACAGGTTTAATAACATTTGACCCAGTTTGGTGTCAGTGTTGGTTTGTTGGGACTATTTAACAGCTGCTAGCTTGTATTATGAGGCAGACGTTGAACTGATCATTCACCGGCCCAGGAGGAGAGTGGTTCTGGAGACAGTCCTTTAGCGCTGTGTTAACCTGTGTAACAGCTGCAGCAGAAAGATAATACCCAGCAGGGAGTCGGTCCTTCACTGTAGCCCAGGACACATGAGCACAGGCACTGCTTAAACAATGTGGTCATATGTGGCCCAGCTAACGATTATTTTCATAGTCGACTAATCTGTCGATTAGTTCTTCCATTAGTTGACTAATCTTTTTATCGAAAAATGCATTAACATGTTGAAAAATGTTGGTCTGTCTCTCACAAACCCCAAAATGATGTCCTCTAATGTCATCTAATGTTTCATACTCACACCAAAGGGTTTTAGTTCAGTGTGTGTAAAGCTGCCGATATTTGAACGTAAACAGCTGCATTAACAGAATTTTTGGGTACTTTTCTTGTTCTTTTCTATGAAAAATGACTCAAACCGACCAGTCGACTACTAAAATAGTCACCGATTATTTTAATAGTCGATTAGTCATCGATTAGTGGACTAATCGTTGCAGCCCTACCCACCTTCAAATGTGGTCTGAGCAATCGGATCTCAAGAAGCATCAAGGATGCACTGGATGCATTCACATCCATACTTAGAGCAGTTCACTTGTACTCTGATCACCCAAGACAGTTGTTAATACCAGGTATAAACAGGGCCTACGTGACTTTAAGAGATTATATTTGATTGCTTATTGTTGAGTGTGTTCCTCTACAGGAGCGGGTAAACTTGGCCAGACAGATCGAGAAGATTGAGTTCCACAACAGCAGGGAGAAACAGCACAACTCCTGGCTCAGACAAGCAGCAGATGCTCTGGAGGTGGACCTGGATGACGATCTTTTAATAGGTAAGACCAACACAAAACAAAATCTTATTACATTTTACCTTTTATTTAAAAATGTCCAAATACAGACAACTGAATATCCTATTTATGTCTACAGGCAGAGGAAGGGATGAGGAAGGTGACAGGGAGCAGCAGAAGGTGGTAAAGGGAATGAAAAAGCATTTGAAGCAGTTGATCTCACAGCCTGTTTTCAAGAATGTGATTAAGACCAAGTATCCCACTCAAATGGGGAAGCTGTCCCTGCCTCACATGCCTCTAGCAGAGAGGGAAAGTGCCCTTACCAGGGTGTCAATACAGAAGACGAAACAGAAGTTAAAGAAAGATGCTCCACCACGGCAGAAAAAGCAGAAGGAAAAAAAACAGCAGCAGCAGCAATGACATGTTAATAGGAATGTGCATTAGAAAGGCCATCTCTGACAGGATTTGTGTAGTTGTTGAATTACGTAATTTTTTACATACATTCAATTCATTTTAACACTTAATGCAAAATGTGCAAAAAAATGTATTTCCAGATAATGTTGAATTGCTGTACACTGCAAGACTTTATAAAAATCTGTTTTTATAAACATCTTTGAGCTCAGTTGGGATTTTACTCAACCAAAGTCAGTGTTCCTGAGATGAGCCGAGTCCAAGTGGATCTCTGGTCAGCGTTGTGGTCGGGGGTAGAGAATGTTATAATGTGACGTTTGGTAGAGGAGGTGCAGGGAGGGCTCAGCACCCTCTGGAATGACATGATGAGCCAACTGCTGCTCGTCACCCTCCATGGAGACGATGTGGATGCAGATATCCAGGGCTTGTGACAGAGCTAAGATGTCCACATGATCGCACTCCATCGCCATGACCTCCACTTCCTGAATGAAGAGAGGGACGACATTACTTAACCTGACAATTCCATTTCCCTGACTTACCCTTTGTATAAATTTAGGTGTACTATTTATTCACTAGATGGCAGCAACACTTTGTTACTCACTTGATGACAGTAGGCCAGTAGATTGGGTGCCTCCACAAAGTTGCAGAAGAAGTCCGCCTGGTTTTGCAGGTGAGCTGAAGTGAGCAGCCGGAGATATTGCACTACACTGTCGGAGGTCATCTGCTCATTGAAGAGCTTGAGCAGCGTGTCTTCCTGCTCATCCGCCTGGCACTGCTCCACAACATTTACTACCTTCAAGAGAAAAGAAACAAGGTTTTTTTCACATCTATAAAATTCTACTTCCTAATTTTTCATTCCCCGCAGCTTTTTAATAAGCAGAGAAATCCAGTAGCAGACCAACCACACTTAAAGGGCGACTTTGATACCTTTGAACTTGGACCCTATTTTCCATTGATTTATGTCAAAGTGATTCATGGGAATAACAATTTCTTTAAATTGGTGCAGTACTGAATGACTGGGCTGTTGCCAGCAGCAAGACAACTGCAATGATGTAAACACTCGAGGCATTTGGTACCCTTTGTGTACGTTCACTGAAGTGCTTTTTTGTGCCACTGTCAGGCTCCGATTATTACTCTGTTATACAACATTACAGAAAGGATCCCTACAGAGATCGATGTTTTTGTTAAAGAGTAAGATCCTTTTCATTTAACCATTAACTGCTCCGAAATGGCAATCTCCAGACTCACCAGACTGCATTTGAATATTAGAGATTTTAACCATAAAACACGCTGCATTCAAAGATGTGAAAATATGGTGGCTACTATTATTGTTTATTAAACATATTTTCACATCTAACAGAGTGAATTAAGGGTTTATTTCAACCAAACCAGGGTTGACAATTGTTTAAAAAGTGGAAATATGAACCAGATCAGCTTTTGTGAATTTAATTTTGTTTTTGTCGACTTTGAATAGGAATGAGTTTTACTCATAGATTAAATATAATGGACGTAGAGACCATGATGTCACCTATTGGTTTAGGGATTGCCGATTTTGAAGCCTCGAATTCGACATATTAGCCATCGCCAGCTTAGTTTTTTGATTCCAGAAGTGACCATATTCCGCAAGAGGCTGGAGCTGTGGAGGAGCAAGGATGGAGAAGTTGAGGACACCATTCGCAGACAGCCTGTCCCTCAAAGCAGCCCACGCTTAATAATGCATAACTTTTAGACTTAATAAAATGTAAACAGGTGAATTATATTTTAAAAAAATCACCCCTCATACAGTTGTTTAGAAGGGGTAAATCAGCTGTAGAGACCATAACCGTTGTGTTGTTCCAGGCTGTAAACATGTTTATTTCTGCTGTAAAGTTGGCCATCTTTACTTGAGAGTTTTAAGGGATTGACTGACTTCCAGTGCCAGCCTCAAGTGGGCGTTCCAAGAACTGCAGTATTTAGCACTTCAGTGTTGGCTTCATTTTTCAGCCCCAGAGATTACCGCTTGGTTTTATGATAATAAAATTGCTGTAAATTTAAATGGGGTCTTATGAGTCTGGCAACAGCAATTTCCAGGCTGCTTCTGGTTAAAGAAAAGAAAACAAAATCTGCTATCTCTGCAGGGAAATTGACAGTTCATAATTGCCCCAGGTGATTACACTGCAGCCTGTTAAACCGCTGCCGTCTGCATCCTTCAAAATCAATACTGGACCAGTATCAAAATTTGTGGTCACTTAGACACATAGGTGTGTGAGAATAGGGTCCAGGTTCAAAAACACAAAAGTTTTCCTTTAACCAAGAGCATAGAGGTATTTAGGAAGTACTTGTGTTGATCCCTTCCAATAAAGGACTGATGGATGAGTGCCCAGAGGCTTATCAGAAGACACAGCAAGCCCAACTAGTTTGAACTTATTGTACTTTTACCAAGTAAATCATTACTTGGATTACAAAGATTACCACTTCCACAAAAATATTCTCACTTATCCGCATTGTTGTAACTTGATCTATTTGTACTTTACACCCCATTCTATGCCTTTAAGTGTTAAATATGTCAACATACTACCTTGTAGAAGCATTATCATGGCATACGTAAAGCCCAAAATTAAAATAGTTTTATTGCTTGACATACAAAGAAATTGTCTGAGCGCTTTAATAAAGGTTTTATCTTTTCCAGGCTTATCAGAATTGGTGTTTTACTGCCCTAATGCTACCTGGTAAGTACATAAAGTGTTAATGTAAAAGAAAATGCATTATTTACTGTATTCAGGTGGTGCCTGAAGGAGCTCTCATCGAATCCCGCAGAAGAGAAGTCTTCACAGGTTTGTACAATTTTCTCCTTAAACCTGAAAGTGAAACCAATGAGACAGGGCCACCATAATATTGAAGTGACTTCAGTTTGGACTAACGGCAGCATTAGTAATGACTGACCTCTGCAAAGCCCTGGCATTGTGCAGAAGAGACTCCAAGTGTGCGAAACAGAGGGCTCTGTAGAAGCAGTTCCCATCTCCGCGCACTTGTCTGACGGAGGAAAACTGGCTGCTTAAATCCTAACAAAGGACAATAAGGGATTAATATGCGGCGGGCAGTTAACAGGGGCCACTATGACCTACACCCCACCCAAACTTCATATCCTACTTTATATTTGGCACCCGGCGTTTGCTCAGGAAACAGCGAAGAAATGTCCTCTCGGCATGAGACAAGGCTGCCTACCTCCATCTGTCGAGAAACAAACAGCTTTACCATTCAGAAAACAAAAGGCAGCTTCCGGGGTCGACTGCCGACACGACGTACCTTCGTATTTCAGCAACATGGAAAAATGTAAGGAAACGTAATTACAGTTTAGGAAGCCTCCGCGCGTCAAAGCTGTGTGTCAAAACATTGTTGCAGTGTTATTTCCATTTTCTGAAAACCGGATGTTTGCGTGTACCACGTGCTCGTGTTAAAGGGACAGTGTAGGGTTTGTCAACGCTGACGTCATATCTCCGTAGGGGATTTTTTTTGTTACTGAAAAAAGCCCTTAAGTTTAAATACTAGCTGAAAAATAGAAACCAGTAGAGTGTGATGATGTGGACATCTTACCTATTGTGAGTTAACCTTTTCACTGTCTCACCAGAGTTACCAGTGGTGGTAGGCTCCAACTGTAGGACACTTAAAGGTCCAGTGTCTAGGGTTTAGGGGCATCTATTGGCAGAACTGGTGTACAATTTTCACAGCGGTGCAATGGTTGGCACTGTTACCTCGCAAGGGCTGGCAGTTCAAAGCCTGTGATAAGGGAGCCCTCTGTATGGACTTTGCATGTACTCTCGTGTCAGCATGGGTTTTCTGCAGGTACTCCAGCTTCCTCCCACAGTTCAAAGGCATATCGGTGAGTTTAATTGGTGACTCAAGATTCTCTGGAGCTGTGAATGTGAATCGATGTGTCGGCCCTCTTATAGTCTGGTGAACTGTCCATAGTGTAGCGGGCTAGGGCGCCATTCATTTTTATGGAAGTTGCTCAGTGGCCCATGAAGCCCAAAAAGTTCACCTGCCCCTTATAAAAATTACCTGGATAATTAGCCCTGAAAAAAATGTTTGAATAATTTGTCAACTAAAATATGCTTCATTCTACGGCCTGGTGCCTTTTCCTCTAAATTTTGCTAAACCTCAGTAGCAATAGCTGGTCTTGAGTCTCCCTAGCTAAGCCAGCTATTAATTCTTCATCCAAAAAGGTGGAAAAATGAGAATTTAACAGTGTGTGGAGAGGTTCATTTGCTTTCACCACTAACACTGTAAATTTAAAGACCTAAATAATCATAAACTTTAGAGTTATCACATTGTGTTAAAACATATTAATGAATGCTCATTTAGACATATTGGCTCATTTTTATTTGATAGGCTGTTTTACCTTCATTGTAAGACTTCATATGTTTTTTGTGGTTCCAGGCATTTTATTTTTATTTTTGCTTTGGCCAAAAAGGGCTCTTTTGAACCCCTGTCCCACACACTTAGCACACGAGAGAAGTTTCAGTTCTGCAACCTCACCCCTACATGCCACTAAATCAAACACAAGACCTTTAACTTCTACAATCAAAATTTTATTATCAGCATTTTTTTCTCAAAGTATCAGTACATTACAATGCAGTACTTTTAGTACTGCATTATAATGTATCTGACTGAGGTGGGTAGATCTGAACAATGTAATATTTAATAATACATCATATTTATTTGTTTATGTTTTGAATCTCCAAAGTAACAAACAACCATAGCGACTATATATGTGCAACATTTCCCTCTAAGCTATGGTAAAGTAGAAGTATAAAGTTGCATAAAAATGGAAATACTCATGTAAAGTACAAGTATTAAGTACAGTAAGTACTCACAGCCTGACAACCCAGATTATTACTCAATCCTTAGGAGCACAAATTCCTGACAAAATAAACCCCTAAAAAGTGTGTCTGAACATGTTTTGCTACTTTAACTGCATTGCAACATAATTGGTGATCACTGTCTGCACTGGTACGAAAACCTGTATGTCCTTGTCAACACGGAGCAGGCCAGAATCTGCTTTGCTGCTAAAGCCTGGTGTCTTTTGCACAACAATAACTTTGTGGTAAATTGATAAAAAGAAAGAAAACGTATGTGGCTGCAACATTTGGTTCTGTATGATATGCAGGATTTAAAACAAACAAGTCGGATTCTGTTTGCTGCATTAATTATATTTACTGTATTTAATAGATAAAATGCAGACTATCACAAAGAATTTGCAATTTGCATACATAACATTGCATATGCCATGTTGATGACTATTACTTCCTGTCTGACAGCATTATTGATTGCAACAATTTGATTTTGAAATGCAAAGGTGATTCTAGAGACACACATATACAAAGTTCTGATGCCCAAATACACTTGATAACCTTCTTCTCAAAATCAGTACAAAATTTTAGTGCAAAATTTGGTGCGTAGCATATTGCATTAAGAGTTTTGAACAGTGAAACTCTGTCACACCAACTCAAAAAATGTAAGTGTCAAACCACTCTTGTTTTTCCAGAGTTTTCAACTGCATCTCACATTCTTCATCGTCATGTTTTTTTTGTCATACTACTGCTTCCAAGGTCAAAAATAAACTTACACACTCAACAAACTTCATTATTAGATTACTGTATCAGGAAGAACATGATTCGTTGTAAAAGTTCTACATCAACTCGTTGTCCCACTCTTTCTACTGACTTTACTGGGACTTTTGATTTGTATTTTACTGCTGATGCTTTTCATTGACCCCCTTTCTTTTTTGTCTGTTAGAGCTGCTCTGCTCGTCAGTGCAGACCCCGACTCCATCAGTCTCCTCGCTCTTCTCTCTGTGTCTGCCTTGTCCAGGATGTATTCCTGAAATCACACTCTTGGTTAGTAAAAAGGTAGGTAAAAGACTGTTGATTACTAGTGTTATGATATGAATATTAAAGCTGGGGTAGGCAACAATCTGGAAAACACAAAAAAAGGTCAGAATTTGACAATACACCCTCCTCCTTGCACATACATTGATTTATGTCATCTTATTTCATTGTAGAGTTGTGCTCAGTTCATTCACTCAGTCCTTTCTTACCCCGCTTAATAAGCAGACTAACATTAGTCACTCCTTCATCCCTTAGCTTTAGCTTTTTTTAGGCAGTTTGTAAAACGGATCTTCCGTCGATCTTCAGTGGCTTGAATTCAGAGAGTGCAAACCCCACAGCACCAGGTGTCACAGGGAGCTGGTGGCCAGTGACAGTATAGGGTCCAACCTGATGTCTGATTGGGCGGGTGGTCCTGGCTGCCCGGTCCCCTGAAGCTGGGGTTTGCGGCAACTAGATTCATGTTGCTGCAGCCACTTGCTACTAGAGGTCTGGCTCTTCTCTCAGTGAGCTGGTCTGTAGCAGCAGGGATTGAGGCTCTAGCTTACGTTAGCTATATAAATGCAAACATGAAGCCATAACCATGAGTCTTTGGCTCCCGTTAGCAGAGGGCTAAACTATTAGCAACATTTTCTCTCCATCTCTGAAACAGCTGCCAATAGTAATGTGTTTAATTTAATTTATTGTCAGATTCTTTTTACCATCTTCCCTTTATGGAGTATTGCAGTGTAGGCAGTTGTTGCCATTTCTGGAATAGCAAATTTTTCTGCAGGTTTCTTCGCTATTGAAACAGGCTTTCACTGAAGGGATGTGCACATGCATCTACATTTGTAGAACAGACAATATGATCGCCCTCTCCCTGACAGACAGGGAAGTTATCCAATCATTTCATTCAGCCCAAATGAAATGATTGGACGGGCTTATTACAGCCCTGTCACAGCCACAGATATCATTTTTTTCTGAGCATTTCAGTTATTGATAGCTAACACATACAACAACAAAAAAAAAAAAATGCTTATAAAAAAGTTGCCTACCCCAGCTTTAACCATTTTCTTAAGACATTACCTTCACCATGTCCATCTTTGTCAGTACATTCATGTTTTCCAGAGGTCCGTATGCTGCTAGGTAACACTGCTCTGCAAGGTTGTTAATGGCCATAAGCAAACAGCCCACGTCTTCAACCTGTGTGATAAAGCAACATATGACAATATTTACATACATATTTAAAACTCCTATCTGCAAATTAGCTAAGCGTCATTTCCAACTCATAATCTTGAAGCATACCTTCTCTCTGGACAGACCTTGCTCCAGCATCAGGTTCATCTCTGCCTGCTTGTTCTTCTCTTTGAGGGTTTCCAACTCACTCTGGAGTTCAGACAGTTCCTTGTTGGCCATCTGAAACACGTAAAAACTCTGAATAGGCTTTTAATTCAAGCACCATCAGTGGAAGAAAAGATGCTGTGACAATCTGTGTGTCTGACCAGTGTTTTAATACTGTGCTCCTGCTTCATGATGTGCAGCTGTCGCTGGCCATGCTCCACCTCCTTCTCCAGACGGCCCAGACGCTGCAGCAGCTCCCGATGGGTGTTGGACAGGGTCTCGTGGCGCCGTATGATGGGCATGACCAGAGATTCAGACTCATTATCAAGGTGAGCTGAAAGAGATTGCGCAGTTTGGTCCATCATACGGCAAGTGTGTGATTAACTCATAGGATAAACTGAAAAGGTTGATGTAAATGTTCGCTTATATCGGCCAATAAAAGTCAGTTCAACTTACTGCTTGGGAAATAATGTAGTGTTTCCATCAGGTAGTCCTCATAGATTTTGTATTTTGCCATTCTTTCCTTTAAAACTTGCTGTCTGTGTGTTAAGATATGGTAAAACTGAGGTAGAATGTGACTGAATGAGCATCACCATCACATTAAGGATTTGGTTTAAAGTTCTCACCTGGCTCGAAGTTGCTTCAACTGTTCTGTCAGATCTTCTATCTCTCTCTGTTTCGCGATGTTCAGCTCCCGTGCAGCCTCGTACTTCTTCAGTGCTCTGCGTCGCTTCACTTCATTTTCAGCCACAAACTTCTCAAACTTCATCACCCTCTCTTTAGTCTAGATGAAAATACATTTGTTTCAGGCCACTGTGGATCAGTGGATATCTAGGCCTGTAATCATTCATGCTTTCAAGTAGTTTCAGGGGGTTTCACTTCACCTGCTGCTGTTTCATTTCCAGTTCAGACCTTCTCACAGCTAGAGTTTCCACACCTTTCTTAAACTCTTGCCGTTTGTGTGCAAGTTGCCGGTCCACCTCCTCCAACTCAGCCTGTTTCTTCAGAACCAGGGTCTTTTGCAAAGTGTTCACTCCTGCCTCAAGGAGTCTGCCTGAAGACTAAACATATAAAGCACGTAAAAAAACAAGCACTAAAACATCCACTGATTTTGTTTCAACTTTGGACAAATTTTGGTCATCAAACACTTAATTTCCTGCATTCAGGCAAATATTTACGCACCAATTTTGTAAAATAAGCAGCACGCATCTCCAAAAAATCTTCAACAATATACAGAGGTGCACGGTTGTGGCGGAGATCCAAAACCCAACAGAACACCAACACTTTCGGATAAATTAACTTATTTATTGTGGGCAGAATTAACAGAAATGGATGCATTTCAGCTATACAGCCTTCCACTGTTAATTCTGCCCACATTAAATAAGCTAATTTATTTGAGAGTGCCAGTGCTCTGTTTATTTATATACCAATTTTTGGCTTTTCTGCATCAGTCTAAGGTGGAGATTACTTTAATTTTGGAAAAATGAAGGTCCTCTGCTCCTTTTATGTTTTTGTTGGAGAGAGACAAGAATACTTTAGTAAAATAAAATCACTTTATTTAAAATTTTTAGAAAATGTACATTTATTACATTATTACTTATTCTGTCTTACCTCTGTCACAACAGGTATGTAGTTGACATTTTCCTCCTTTCTGTGCCTGAGGAGGAAACTGATTTTAGTCACAACACCACCAGTGCAGGGGACAAACGTTAGACATGCTGCCCATGTATAATGAAAACACAGGCCTACCTGGAGTCTTCCGGTTGTGTGACAAAAATGTTTCTTATTCTGTTCTCCACCTTCAGCTTTAGACGTGGGTCGGCGTTATCTAACACAGGAAAGGAAGAAGTCGTCATGTTTTTTGTTTGTTTGTTTTTTTATTTGCCAGTATATCGTCCAGGAATCCTGATGAATAAACAGGTCCTGCAGTTATTCCACGTTCGGTCCAGGAGGACGACCGAGGGTCCTTTCCGGATGTTTTCCTGGTTTTGTGTAGCTGTTGCCTGGGAACCGCGGGCGAGACAACAGGGAATGCGCCGGGATCGTTTCTCCGTTGTCATGGCAACTGCCGGAGAGGCGGTTCTCCTTTATTGACTGAATGAGAGGCATAGAAATGAGATCGTTAAGAGATCCGAGATGAGGAGGACATCAAGAGCCCTCACTCCGCTCATATTCCCGTGGACCAAAACTCTGCTGACTCTGAGGAGCTCACATTATAAATTCTGTTTCCCTGCAGATTTTACCAGTGACATATGCCCCACAATTAACCTAGTATTAATATGGAATTATAATAATGAAAAAAGCATAATTATTTTTTTTTTTAAAGCCTCTTACTTTTCCAACTTTAAAGATCCCCTTCAGACATGTTTTAGAGCAGTGGTTCTCAAACTTGTTTTCAATACTGTACCTGCTTTGAAAGATGTTTTTCAGGCAAGTACCCCCTGACCACTGCAAAACAAGTTTGGTAGAACAAAAACGCCTATAAAGAGGTACAATACAGCACTTTAAATATATCACTCAACAGGCCTGAAAACTGAAGCCCACATTGAAATGGGAAAAACTGCAGTTCTTTGAACGGCCACTTGAGGCTGGCTCCAGAGGCTAGTCACTCCCCATAGACCTCCATGTTAAAATGCCCAACTTTACAGCAGAAATTAACAGCCTGGTCCAAAAACTGGTTTTGGTCTCTATAGCTGATGTCCCTCATCATGATCACTGTACGGGGATTTTTATTACTCACTCGTTTACTTTTTGTTAAGGCTTAATGTTACTCATAGTTAAGAATGGGGCCACTTTGAGTGATAGGCTGTCTGACAGTGTCCTCAGCTTCTCAGTCAGATCCACGCCTTGTTTCTCCACAGCACCAGCCTCTCCCCCAAATATGGTCACTTCTGGCTCCAAAAAAAAAAAAAGAAAAAACCAAGATGGTGAAAGCCAGAGTGTTGAACTTGTGGTTTCAAAACAGGAGTCCACAAACCAATTGGTGACGTTGCGGTGGCTTTGTCCATCATTTGCACAGTCTATGCTGAGTTCAAGAAAAAAATTTTGTCATCATGCAGTAACACTAAGATGACATTGTAGCTGCATTGAACTGCGTCATTTTAATAGGTTGCATTTACAATTTTGTGACGTATTGTTTTTATAAATTATGCATGACTGATTCATTCATTCATTTTCCATAACCGCTTATACTGTAAGGGGTTGCAGGTGGGGACAGGTCACCAGACTATCACAGGGCTGGCACAGACAACCATTCACACTCACATTCACACCTTCGTGCAGGTTAGGGTTAGGGTCTCCAATTAACCTAGCTTGCATGTCTTGGAACTGTGGGAGAAGGCCGAAGCAACCGGATAAAACCGCATTCATTTGTGTGTCAATGTCAAGTACCCAGTTCTCCAAAGTACATCTAGGGATATGTACACTGCCTGGCCAAAAAAAAAGTCGCCACCTGGATTTAACTAAGCAAATAGGTATGAGCCTCCTATTGGATAATTACTGCATGGGCGATTATCTTTCAGCTGGCAATGCCACAGCGAATGCGTGCCGTAATCAAAGCTAAAGGCGGTCCAACGAAATATTAGAGTGTATAACCTTTTTTTTTGGTGGTGACTTTTTTTTTGGCCAGGCAGTGTATACTCCCATTTTAGAACACTGTTTTAGACCTATATAAATACTCTGCTTAGAATGTTGTGACACAAAAAGTCGAATTAGCTATCTCATTCTCCTGTTTCTTCCTCATTGAAAATTTCAGATTTGGTTTTATATGCAAACATTTTTCACTTCAGAAGTTGGTAGAAACTGGTGGAGCCAAGGTGTCTACTTCACTTAAAAGTCACTCAGTGTTAGTGCACCGGAGGTTCAAAGTTTCCACATCACACTTGTGTAAGCTGCATATTGAACAATGAGCAGTTTCCAAACTAAAGTCGGACGTCACAAAATTAAAGTCATTCTTAAGCCCAGATATGACATAAGTACAGAAACGTCAGCAGATGGAAACAAAAACACCTTTCAGGGGGACTTTCTAGATTCATCAACCTTTTTCATAATATGACATAACAGGAAAAAGGAACAAACAGGTTAAATAATAACACTGATGATGGCTGCATCCACATTGGTTTTAGCAACAGACCTTTTTCCCCAGCAGACATTTTGTCTTAATATAGCGTAAAAACCACTGGTGTAATAAGCAATATTAATATGGGGTAAACTTTGTTTAGCTTTAATACAGGGGTGTCAAACTCATTTGAATTCATGGACCACAAACAGCCCAATTTAATCTCAAATGGGCCGGACCAGTAAAACCATTGTATAATAACCTGTAAATAACAAAGCCTTCAAATTTGTCCCTCTCTTTTAGTGTAAGGCAGGAACTTCAGAGGTAGCTTACATCCTGAGAATGTTCACAATTAATGAGGAGTCCATTTTCAAAACAAATGATGAATAGCCTGAGATGAAGGCTGTGCAACTTCAACAATATGTCTGTTTTTTAGCAAACTCACTCAGAGTGTGGCTTTGATGCTGAAGCTATTTTGTTAGCAATAAACTAGCCAGTTTTCACAGCTGCAATGCTGATCTCTTGGCTAAAACAAACGTCACACTTATGTTTCCTCAAACCTGCCAATGATTAATTTATCTTCCCTGTTCTTAGTTGAAAGTGGAATTAATAACTTCTCTGCATTTTTTACACTTGGCAAAGTCATTGAGCTGGCCAGACTGGACCCTTTGGTGGGCCGGTTCTGGCCTGTGGGCCTGATGTGTGACACCCCTGCTTTAATAGTTCTAATAGATCTGGACCCTGCCACTGTGCATGCTGGCTCATTAACCAGGTTTGCTGACACGAGTAAATGGAACAGAGAAATGGTTAAAGGTAGTAATAATTGAACCTGTGTTACACCTGCTATGACATGTCAAGTATGTGAAAAGCTCTATAATTAGTGTGTTAAACAGGGACCGACAGACATTTTGACTTGTTGTAGAAGGAAAAGGACAGGTGAAACTGATAACCTCAAGACCCATTAAGTGTGCTAGTAAAGCTTTAAAGCTGTATGTAACTGCCACAAACATACCTTGGGTTTATTTTTATGAATGTAGAGTAACAAACAACAGTGTGTCTGTAGTTCTTGTCACATTTCAGCTGAACATAAAAGCAACAAACAGTAATTATGATTTGTTTTGTTGAAGCTGGCCGGCGTTTTCGTAGCATTACCTGAAATCAAACACTGTGCATCTCTCACAACGTAGATAAATAACCATGTTTGTCTTTCTTGGCTGAAAATGTGAGGCTCCTCAAGCAACCCCAGAGCTTGTCTACACTCTAGTTCCTCCAGCTGTAAATAGATACACATGCAGATAGACTTGTTTGTGTCAAGTCAACCAGACGCCACTTCCAGTTTAGACAGAGGAAGCATTTTTCACAAACACCTCCAAAGAAGTGATTGTGAAACCAAAATCAGCCGTCATTGTTGTGTGCACATTTTCACACTTCAGCTTGTGACAGTGCGAGTCGATGCAACAGACGAATGCTCTTCTTGTTTTAAAGGTGGATCAGCACATTTGTAATTTCAACTTCTGTGAATGAGGATGAGGACACTGTCACATGGTGAGTTCAAGTCTTTCCATTCAAGTTTTTGAGCAGTTTTAAAGACATGGTCATCCAAACCTGTCAAATCTCTCCTCTTTCTGTGTGTGTGCATTTTATTTTTGTGTAAATTTTAAGTTGATAGCCTAAAACTGTAACTCCAGCTTTGTGTTATTCTTAAGCCAATTTTCTGCTGCATAACTCACTGTAACACACGACCTCACCTCGGCGTTGCCTCTGGAGCAGCAGAATCAAGTGGATTCAAACACAGTTGAACATGCCCTTAAAAGGCAGCTATCCTCATCGCATGAGCTGCTGCTCTCTGATGTCTGCCAGTGCAGATTTCAGCTCTGTCAAATGAGCTTGGTCTTTAATTCATACAGTATGACTGTGGAGTGTGTGTTTATTATCCTCTGTATGTTGGTATGTTATCTTTGTTTTGGGCACTTGACAGACCTGTTTTTTTTTTAAATTGCTGCTATCAGTGTTCTGACTTTTGTTTTCTGATTTGTTGTTCTGGATCTCTGGTCTATGAAGAAGACAGCAGCTCACTGTTAGATGTCCCGCTCCTCAGACTGGACAACACATCTCCTCCTGTGATGATCGCAGTCAGCAGACCCATGTCTCTTTATCAGAGACTAAACAATGATATAAAAGACAGGCTGGCTGTCTACAACCTGAGTCTCCTCACTTCTGACAACTCGACTGTAAACCTGCACAGGTGAGGAAACGTACTATTATTTTATAAGGCACTTCTTATAGTTTGTAATTGAATGTGGATGAAAATGACTTGTTCATATTCACATTCAATATAAACTGAAACAGAGTAATTTTTTTCAATGTCATGTTTGAATAAGTGTGGCTCATTGACTTAACTCAGACAGACAGACAAAAGAAAAAGTGATGAAGTTCCTGAGAATAAGCTGATAAAATCTCATCAAAAAATCTTTATAATCTAACATCTGTTACTTTAAGCAAGAAGCTGAATAGTGTTCAAGAACTTAACAGACACTGGAGGTGAAATGTGACAAAATGATATCCCATTATCAGCACATATTTTAACATGGTAGAAATTTTATTTCTAAAAGTTTTGAGATACACACACAAAGGAAAGAGCAAAAGAAAACCATTGTTGCCTTCAGGTGGTGTGACTGTAAGTTTTCAGCAATTATTACTTTTTATATTCATAAGAGCCAACACTGAGTTGTATCTTCAGATATAAACCGCTGCTTCTATTACTTTAATTCCTTATAGATGCCATAGTTTGGCATGTGCTCTGTCAATCACCAAACACCTCCCTCTTGTGGAGAAACTGCAGCCCATTGAAAGTGAATTAGTGAGTTAGTAAATTCATTTGAAAGGTACAAGACTGAACATTAAAATAAAGCCAGTGCTTCACAGTCACGTTTTGTGATAAATACCTGGAGTATATAATAATTTAAGTTTCTCTGGGATGAAAACCTTACCAAAGCACAAACCAGAGGTCAGGGTTGTGCCCATAGCTGCCACTGAGGACACAGAAGTTTTGCACTCTCACGTGTCAGTTTATTCTATGCAAATGAATCTTTATTTTCG